CAGCAGAATCTCTGAAGACTTCAGCATCTTCTGGCTTAAGGGATCCAGCAAAGCGCCTCAGGTGAACATCCTCAGGGTGGGCAGCGGGCCTTTCTCGAGTACTTGCATCTCTTAAAAGGGGAACCAAGGCAAAGTTCTTCCAATTTCTCCCTGAAACTGAAGGGTAAAACATCATTATTGCCTTGGAGGCAGTAAAACAAACAGACATTTACTTGTTGGTCTCACAAATCTCAAGATGAAAGGAGGCCCAGGCAGGTGGGGCACTTCCTGAGGCACAAGAATTGGTGCAATTTCCTCTGTCCTCAGCTGCTTGCAGAGTCTCATCCGCTCTGGCAGCTCCTTAAACTCCCTTCCCTTACCTTAACTGACTGACTTGTGACCTCACGTAAGAGTCCGCAGCTTGCCTCTCTCAGCCTCCATTTCCTCCCTGCCCAAATGTGAGGGAAAGCAGGTCTCCATAGAGCAACACTGGGACCTGCCCCTTGAGAGGCTCCACACAGAGTCAACTCTGTGGTGGTAAACACCAGCCAGAGAATCAGGATTAGGGGCCCAGGCCCCATCAGAGCATAGCAGATTGGGAACAGCGCAAAGGGACCATGGTGATACTGGACCTTGAATGGGGGCCTCAGGTGTGATCTGAAATCCCAGGAAGCTCCTTGAGGAAGACACAGCTGTCACCTCCACCACCACCTCCAGCTCCTTGGCTGCCTCAGAGAAATGACTCTGCCAAGATGGAAAGCTCTTCTTCCATTTTCCAGAGCCCTGGGCAGCCAAACCTCCTGGTTGGCCACCTCAGGTCTGATGTCTCTGGAAAACCAGCTCTCACCGCTCAACCTCAGGCCACAGTCCAGACCCCTCTACTGGGATCCAACACTGGTCACATCTCAAAGGTGTCAGGAATGCCAGAGACAGACCCTATGTTGACTGCCCCAGCTGAATTCTCCAGGTCCTGGCATTCCTCCAGGCCTGCAGGAAGAGCTTCAGCAGGCCAGAGCTTCAACACTGGCCTGCGCTCTAAACCAAGTCTGACATTGGGCACCAATTGTTGAAGAAGGATCCCTTGGGCATAAAGGCAGGAGGGCTCGATGGGGAGACAGGCCAGGTTCTCACTGGGATACCATCTACTGGCTGCCTGGGTGATGGGGGCACCCAGCTTCAGGGATTGCATGACCCAGCCCCAGTTCCAGGGCCCTCAAAGTAGGTATGCGATTCCCAGGGCCCATTTCTCATTCCCACAAGTCCTGATGCCAAAACCCCCTCAGATGTACTCCCTAGCTCCTCTACAGACCACTTTTCTTCCCTGGCCTTTCTTTCATGCATTTCCTCACCCCCTCCCAATCACATGCACTGTGTGAGTGGGGAGAGGTCTTTCTTTTCTGAATTATCTGACTATTTATTGTTTATTAATATTGAGGAAAAAGTATTATTTGTATTTCCACCCTTACAAAGTTGGATAGGAAAGCAAAATCCTCAGAAAATAATCACTGATTAATTAGACATGTAAAATCAGGACACCTCCAGTCATCCTCTGCTCCCCACCCCAATTAACACAAAGTGTGTGTATCCCTGCCACTGGGCCAACATCTTTATGTCTTTATTAATCTCACAGTGAATGTGTAATGTTGTAAACAGCCAACAATATCATACAAACATAATGTATGCAGAGTGAAATAGCAAATCTTGTCAAAGATACGGGATTTTATGAAACCAATAAGAGTGATATCAGAAAACTGCTGAAATCACTTGCAACTTCTTCTTCGACTTGCTCTCTGGCAAAGTTAGACCAGCTAGCAACTGAAGAAAAGATAGTCAATAAGTACTTTAACATGACACAGGAGTGCTTTCAATGAGACTTGTGAGAAAATTACAAGATTACAGGAGGGCCTTGGGAAAACTGATGAAGCCCTTGAGTAGTTTTCCAAAAATGAGCCTCTTAATAAAATAGATTTCCACTTCCAGCTATGATGAAATAACCGGTACTGGGCTAGCCATCCTGTTGTAAACAATCATAAACCTGGACAAAATACATACAGCAAATATTTTCAGGTGTAGGACAAGAGGCAGTGAAAAACTCCAATCCTCAGGAGAAGTGAAATTCACAAGGTGAGGCCCATGATCACCCTGACTCTCTGCTTAGGGATGATTTCCCCAACTATGGTGCAGTGAGCTGGTTTCCAAGAAGAATATGGCGGTTTCTCTGAGCTAACAATGAAGAGATCAGAGTCTTGGGAAGAAGAAGTAGTTAGAATTTGTGGAGCAGAGAACAGGAGAAGAGGAAGAAGAGAGCTGTGGTAGTGGAGACCCAGAAGACTTTGAGCAGAGGTCCCCACAAGTCCTTGATTGAGAGTAGGGCTGTGCACACACAAAGTGAGACTGTATGAAACTTATCAGAGAGTGGCTGCTGCAGGGTTGAAAGTGGAACATAGACACTAGAAGTTGAGCAGTGGTGAGGATACTGAAGTCCAGCCCAGTCAGAGTGGAAAGACCTCCTTAACACCCTTTCAAGACCTTGAGGATCCAGCCAAGATATCAGAAAGGCCCCACTTAAGAGTAAGGACTACGCCCTAGAGTAAGGCTTACTCAAGACCCACCTTAACAAAGCCTAAAGCCAAGCCCTGACAAGATCCTTAGTGGATATAGAGTGTAGAGATTAAGTACCACAGGTTTGAGGGGTTTGGAAAATATCTTGGGGTTTTCACAGATCCACCATAACAAAGATTAAAACTAAGCCTGCACAAGTTCAAGATGATTCATCAGTAATCGAACTGCCAACTAGAAATAAGAAAATCAATACTCTCTAAAGGAACATATCAGAATCCAGAATCTCTACAATATATCATCCACAATGTCCAATACACAATTAAAAATTACTAGACATACAAAGAAACAGGGAAGTGTTTCCCATGGTCAAGGAGAAAGAAATCAATAGAAAATGACCCCTACGTAGTCCAGATGTTGCATTTAGCGACAAAGAATTATAAATATGTTCAAACAGCTAAAGGAAAATATGCTCTTAATCTCAACAGGGAAGTAGAAATTATAAAAAAGAACCAAATAGAAACTCTAAAACTGAATAATAAAATAATTGAAATGCAAAATTCATTGAATGAACTTAATAGCAGTTTGGAAATAGTTGAATAAAAGGTCAGTGATCTTGAAGACTAATCAATAGAAATTATCAAATTTGAAGAACAGAGGGAAAAAAATGAAAAATGAACAAGCCTCTGTGGGACAATATCAAATGGTCTAATATACATGTAATTGGACTCCCAAAAGAAAAATAGAGGGTAAATTTCTGGGAAAAAAAGAAAAAAGGCTGAAAATTTCCCAAATTTGATTTTAAAACATATATATGGACATACGGATCCAAGAATTTCAGCAAACCCCAAGCAAGATAAATACAAAGAAAAACTTACCTAAGCACACATTATTCAAACACTGAAAATTGAAGGTAAAGAGAATATTTTTAAAGCAGCCAGAGAAAAACAGAAGCATTACATACAGGGAAACAATTTAAATAATAAATGACTTCTCGTCAGAAATGATGAAGTCTAGAAGACAATGGAGAGACATAGTTAAAGTGTAAAAATTAAAATTAACAAAATTTTAAAAGTTAGTAACACAGAATTCTATAGTCAGTGAAAACATTTTTCAAAAATGAGGATGCAATGAAGACATTTCAGATAAACAAAAGCTGAGGTAAAATTAATCTATAGTAATATAAATCAGATTAATAGTTACCTGGGATGGACAGAATGGAATTGATTGTAAAGAGTCATGAGGGAACTTTCTGGCATGATGGAAATGTTTTATATCTTGACTGAGGTGGTGGTTGCCTGAGTATATATACATTTGTCAAAACTCATTGAACTGTACATTTAAAATGTGTACATTTTATTGTATGTAAATTATGCCTCAATAAAGTTGTTAAGTACATAAAATAAAAATAGGAGCTTCTCTGTGAAATGATATCAAATATGAAAGATGAAATATTGTGTTATCAGGCAAGTTGGTCTGAAAATTATGCCCTCTTCTACCCCCTCAAAAAATTACCAACATGGTTAATTTTTGTTCATTTTAAGAATTAGTGAAAAGTTACAATTATAACAAAATTTGTTAAGTATAAACTATTTTTGCTTCATTTTCAAGGTAAAATTTAAGGTCTTCAATTATATCTTTAATTTACTGTTTACTGTTAAATGTTTACTGTTTATTATTAAATGCCTTTTTTTTCTGGTAGTAATTGTCCTCAAAGGTTTTCTGCTCAAGGTGTAACCTTTATTCTCCTCATTCTTCCCTCCTCTCTTGCCTGTCTAGATGTGCTCATGTAAGTGTTCACATGTACCTGTTTGTGTCCATATAACCTCACAGAGGTATGAGTGCAGACACGGGGTATGAGGGACAGGGAAGAGGAGGCAGCACAGCCCACAACCCAGGTGGATGAATGTAGGGCAAGCTACTTCCTCTGGAGCATTGAGAACAGGTGCCTGGGCCAGGGGTGCTAGGTAGAGCTCGCTTGCATGGGCACATGGATCAGTCAGCTGTGCAGGCATGTGTAAGAACACACAAGAATGCCCATGACAGAGTGTGCGCATATGGTTGACATTTGGGGTTTGTTATGGATTGAGTTGTGACCACAAAAAGTTATATCTAAGTCCTAACCCCTGTACATGTAAATATGACTCTGCTCAGAAATAGGAGTTTTCTTTTGTTATGTTAATAAGGTCATACCAGAGTAGGGTGGGTCCTAAACCTAACCCCTTCTGAGTATGTGAAGATTCCTCTACAAGTCAATGAATGCTAAGGAATGCCTGGAGCTACAGAAGGTGAAAGAGACAAGAATCTTCCTCTAGAGCCCAGAGAGAGAGAAGGAGCCTAGCCCTGCCAGTGCCCTGAATTCGAACTCCTAGTCTCCAAAACTGTGAGAAAATAAATTTCTGTTCTTTAACTCCACCCACTTGTGGTATTTTTTGTGGCAGCACTTGGCAACTAAGACATGGTTGTTACAGTGCCCAGGTCCTATGGGGGTGAGGAAGGTCTGCAAGGAGTGGGGGACCCCCAAGGCTTCACCTGCCCAACATCAGGTCACCAGACAAGTAGGCCCATCCATGCCACAGTGCCCCTCTCCTCATCCCTCACCTCTGTTTGGTCGCAAGGAGAAGCTCAGGGTGCGCTTGACACCCTTAGAGTTGCCCGGGTCTTCATTGATGATGCCCACGTTGGTGTTCCAGGTGGTCCAGTTCACCTCATCTACCCTGCAGTATGACGGAATGGGGGAACAGGGAGTTGGCAGCCTAGGAGCCATGCCCGGCTTCCCAGTCCAACAGCTTGGCCCCTCAGATCAATCCCAAGAAGCCCATAGATCAAGATGGAGACAGAGCCAGTAAGGGAAGGGCAGAGAGGGGCCTGCTTTTTGGATACCACCACTGAAGACATGTTCTCTGGCCACACCATGGGCCCCAGGGACTGTAAACTTACTTCCCTGGAAGGCAGGATTCCTGGTTCTGACCTTGATCACTGAGTGATTCCTGGATAACCTCAAATTTTCCAATATTTAATGTCTGAGTCCCACCAGCTGAGATCTAAGGGGGTCCCCTATGCCCACAGCTGAGCTCAGGACCAGTCCCTGTACCTACAGCTGGTTCTGGGAGGGTCCCCTATACTCACAACTAAGCCCTATAATGGCCCCTGTACCTACAGCTGACCCCGGGTGGGTCTCCAGGATCACCGCTGGACACTGGGGCAGGCCTCTGTACCCATAGCTGGCTCTGGGTGGGGCCCCCATGCCCACAGCTGAGGCCCAGAGCTCCCAATGCTGTTTCCTGTTTGGGCATTACCTGAAACACCACCTGTAGTCATCCTTGCCGTCGGGTGTATACCCCACCTGCAGCAGCTTGCCTGAGCGGAAGGCTTTCCTTATACATTTAAGGAAGCTCTTTTCTGTGTCCAGGATGGTGATGGCTCTCTTTGGGAGGAAACAGACAAACAAAGGTCAGCGGGGCAGAGGGCTTATCCAAGGGCTGCCTGTGGCTGCCAGTGCCAGCTAGCAAGATTAGCCTCCCTGGGGTCTCTCCCAGTCCTAGATGCCTCTGAGCTCCCAGGGCCCTTTACATCAAGCTAGGTCCTGCGGCCCATTTGGTGCACATCCCGTGGAAGGAGCTCAGCCAGTGTGGCCCCAGACCCTCCCAGGCACTGCTGGTGCCTTCCAGGTCTTGGCAGGATAGCCCCATGAGGGACTTGTTGTATACCAACCCCAGACCCTTCCCTAGGTGCTCATGAAGGGGCAACATAACATAGTGGTTAAGAACAGAGCCTCGGCAGTGAGACTGCCTGGTGTTGATCCTGGCTTTGCTACTTATTAGCTGTGCAGCCTTAGACACAGATACCTAAATTCTCTGTGCCTCAGTGCCTTCATCAAAAAATGGGGATAGTTAAAAAAAAAAGGGAGGGATAGTAGTAAAATCCAATTGCTACAAAAGGACAGCATGTTTGGTAAAATAGCTGGCCAACAAAAATGAGAGAAATCCTCAGTGAGATGGATTGACACAACAGCCTCAAGTACGGACTCAATCATGAAGATGGTGCAGGAACGGGCAATGTTTCGTTCTTTGTACATAAGGTTGCCATGAGTTGGAGCCAACTCAGTGGCAACGAACAACAACAATAGTAGGATTGTTGAGAGGATCAAATGCGATAATGTAAGTCACTTAGAACAGTTTGTCAAACTGTAACGGCTTGCATGTTGCTATGATGCTGGAAGCTATGCCACCAGTATTTCAGATACCAGCAGGGTCACCCATGGTGGACAGGTTTCAGCTGAGCTTCCAAACGAAGACAGAAGGCACTCAAAATATACAGTGGCTGCAACAATGGATTCGAGCATAACAACGATCATGAAGATGGTACAAGACCAGACAACACTTTGTTCTGTTGTATATGGGGCACCACGAGTCGGAGTGACTCAACAGCAACTAACAACAACTTTATTATAATAATGATACTTTTATTAGTAGTGGTTGAGGAGAGAGGTGGACTAAGTAGCTCAGAAAAGTAGCTATCGGGCAGCCCGCCCCATATTAACTGTTTCTCCTGAGTCTGGTCTGTGGCTCCCACCATAGGTCAAGGTCCTCTGAGGCGGGCATCCCATGGGGCTAAGTTCTCTGTCTCCCTCCCTCCAGCATCGCCCAGTCCATGGCTAAACAGTGAAAACCAACTGAGCTAATCTGGCACTGCAGCACAGCACAGATGATGCTCAGCAGGGAAACCCCACAAGAGGAGCCAGAAGCGAGTAAACTGAGGAGATGCTGCTGCCTGATCCCCAGGCCTGGCTGAGCTTTCTGCCCTTCCCCAAATCCTGCACGGACTCACATGCCCGACTGTGTAATGCAGCAGACAGAGTGGCTGATGCCCTGTTGGCTGCGAACACAGCCCACCAACCAACCCACCTGCAACTTCCAGATGTTCTTGCTCTCCTGCGCAATCTTGTTGACAGTCTCGCCCATGAGGGCAATGAGCATGTTGAGCAGCAGGATGTAGGTGAGAATCACATAGGCCAGTAACAGGATGATGAAAACAGCCTTGAATTCATAGTTCTCAGTGAACTCCAGGTCACCCATGCCGATGGTGAACTTGAACAGCTCCAGACACGTGGAGTACAGGCTGTTGTAGGAGCTGTCAGGGGGCCGGCAGCCAGGCCCCCGCCATCTGTGCGATGTGGGCTCAGCCGCCACAGACTTATTATTCCCCTCCTCAATCAGTGTCACCACCGCTGCAGGGTATGGGGAGGAGAAGTATGGCTGGCTGGAAGCCAAGATCTTAGGCCCACTGACATGCATACCCCCTACCCCAGGATGGGTCGGCAGCAGAAACACTGCTTGGCTATGCGTGCCTTTGTGAAATAAGGGGGAAGAAAAATACCCTTTCTTCAAAACTACCAGAAAATATCATAATATACTGTTATTGTTTTGAACTTTATCACCATCTATTAGAAAAAAATCTTAAAATAAATATATCAGTCTGTATATGATATGAATAGAGCCACCTTTGAACCACGGGAGCTGAGAAGCTCAGAGTAAGATGGTCTCTTCCTGCATTCTGCAATCTTCTCTGGTAAATATACTACTGCAGCCTGGGAGCTTCTATAGCAGTTGTGTGCACTAGTTACTGCATATCCAGTGTTCGCTAACCCCCTTGGTCTAATCCCTTCCTGGGTTACCGATACATAGGACTTTCAGACCCAGGTGCCAGAGCTCACACTGATCCCTATCAGGTGCCTCCTAGTCAATGCTGCCTTCCCATCCCAGACAATGGTTCTAAGACAGGTTGTAGGGTGGGAACAGGGGAGGGTGCTTCACGTGATCTATGTAACTCCAGAGCACACATGAAGATAAATGCAGAGCCAAGTGCCCAAAAACTTAAGTGGACATGTCAAGAGGGCACAGGAGCCAGCTTAAAGGGGCTCCCACTGACCAAATCTCAGACAATTAAGAATCCATGAACAAAGAATCCATGAGGCCATACTAACATTGATAAACAAGTGTTGGGAAAATGGAAAGCTTTCTTACAGGTGAATGGCAACTAATAAATGTAGAAGAAATGATGTAGTTAGAAAAATCATCATTTGGCAATCATCACAGAACTATGTTCTACTATGCCGGAAATGACAAATTCAAGAGGAATGGCATTGCATTCATTGTCAAAAAGAACATTTCAAGATCTATCCTGAAGTACAACACTGTTAGTGATAGGATAATATCCATATGCCTACAAGAAAGACCAGTTAATATGACTATTATTCAAATTTACCCACCAACCACCAAGGCCAAAGATGAAGAAATTGAAGATTTTTACCAACTTCTGAAGTCTGACATTGATCGAACATGCAGTCAGGATGCATTGATAATTACTGCTGATTGGAACGTGAAAGTTGGAAACAAAGAAGAAGCATCAATAGTTGTAAAATATAGCCTTGGTGATGGAAACAATGCCAGAGATCTCAT